ACCAGATCTACACACATATATATATATATATATATATATATGTATATATATATATATAGACATTCACATGCAATGTATATACATATATGTATATTCGGGGCACTCGGTTTTGAAATCCTTACGAGACCTTGCGTTTTTGAAGGCTTTCGGCATACGCGCGCGACGACGCGCGCGTGTGCATTTTTTGTTGTGCAAGGGATTTTGACGACTGCTGATGTTTGATGGACGGGTGTGCGCGCATAGTATCTTTTCCAGGGGATGAGGGGTTGATCCGATACCGGCTTGCTTGGGATGGTACGAGTTCATATCTAGGATGGACGATGGGGCAGATTCATGTGTAAATTGCAATACGAGTTGTGGGGGGGGGAGGGGGCTAGATCCGATTTTTTTGGGAAGTAGAGGAGAACCCATGTGGCGCAATTAATTTTAGTTCGCAGTGAATGGTCCGCTCCACTGCTCGTGCAATCATCCCGCCCACCCACCCGCAGCTTACTTTGCAAAGCCCATGCAGCGGCGATTGCGATGAGTGATTGGTGTTGGCTGGTGCGTGCCTGTGGTCGCGGTAGCCCGCGCATGCTCGCGCGCGCAGCGGCCAGATAGTTTGGCGCGACCCACGCGGACGCTGTGGTGCTGATCGCTAGGCACTTCCAAGCGGGCACTTCACTGCGAGTCGGCGATATCGGCGGGCGCGGTGTCATGGTAACGTCGACAATGGTGGACGCGATGATGATGGTAGCGATGCTGGTGGCAATGGTGGCAACGACGACGGCAAGGCCAGTGACGGCGCCGATGCTGATCACGCCGGCGACGATGACGGCGCCCTCGCGTCGGCGATGAAGGTTCCGGAAAGAGTTCGACATGCGCGAGCTACCGACGCGCGAGAGTAGCCCGCATGGTGTGACTTGACACGGATCGTGCCCCTCCAGTTCGCGCGCAAGGGCGTCCGAATGATTTCGGCATTCGGCGTGGGAGGCCCGTTTGGTCGAATTCAACGAAAATGTTGAAACACCAATGGTTTTTCCTGAGGAATTCGCAAGAGCGCGAGCGTACGATTTTTCTTTACTGACGTTGCATGCTGCGAGCCCGTGCTTTGTGGCGAGCCAGGACGCTCGATTTTGACAGACTTGCGATTGCTGGATGTCGGCTCGCGAACGCGACGACGCGCGCGTGTGCACTTCGTCAAGTTTTTGCAAGGGGTTCTTGCGACAGCACGCGCGCAAGGCCATGCGATCGATTTCGACATGCGCGCGCGGGGGGCCCTTTTGGTAGCACGTGATGGAGCAGTTTTGGAAAAAAACGCGGTGTCTTTAAGACATCGGAACGGCGTGAAAGCAAGTGTTGATTGAAAATTCTTGTTGCGAGCCCATGTTTCTTTATGTTTCCGAGGCCCCCGAATCTGCAATCTTTGCGAACCTGCAGTGTTTGAAAGATTTCGGCATGCGCGCGCGACGACGCGCGCGTGTGCTCTTCGTCACATTCTTGTGACATTGATGTTTGAAAACGACTGATGTTTGACATGCGACTGTGCGCGCATAGTTTTTCCTGAGGATGAGGGGGGGCGATGCTGGCCAGCTTGGGATGGTACGAGCTTATACATAGGATGGGCGATGGGGCAGAGTCCGATGTAAATTGTAATGCGAAAAGGGGGGCGTTAAGTTTTTGGGGTGGTCGATCTGCATATTTTTTAGAACTTCGAAACTAGGCGGCGACGGAACGGCGACGGCGACCACGAAACCGCCAGACCGACACCCGGGCCCAGACGACTGGCGGTGTCGGGGCGGCGACGGCGAGCGCGGAGCCACAAGACCGACACCCAGGCCCAGACGACGGGCGGCGACGACGCGGCGACGGCAAGCACGGAGCCGCCAGACCGATATTCATTCCTTGACGGCGGTCGGCGACGAGGCGGCGACGGGGCGGCGACGGCGAGCACAGAGCCGCCAAACCAACAGTCAGGGCCAGTTCTTTAGAAGCACTGACCAGGGAGTCTCGTTCGAGATGCACTGCGCATGTGTGTGCGGCATTTTTCCGCCCTCTCAAACGAAACAGCCACATGTTCATGAGGCCAAAACCGTGTACAAAAAAATGCACCTCCCTCTCTGCCTGCCTCTCTCTCTCTCTCTCCCTCCCTCCCGTTTGCAGTGGCGAGTGCAGCGCTGCAGGGCCAGCGGCTGCTTCGCCCCGCGCGGTCGGCGGGGTCGGCCCTGGCACCCAGAGGTGCGGGCCGCACCCGCACGCTCCACTCGCTGCGCCCCTCCCGGGGCTGCCCGCGCGGCGAGCTCCTGGAGGCATCGGGGGTGGCCAAGATCGAAGGCTTCGAGATTGACACCTACAGTATCGGTGATGTGCCTTCACCGAGGGAAGATGATCCCGATCTCGGTGATGGTGGTAATCTTCGGTCCTCTGGGCAGCCGAAAGATTGATCACAGCCAACACCAACATCCAGGATCCTCATGCCCCGGCGGAGACAGCCTCCTGTTCTGGTGCTGGTGCCAATTTCCATGCCTCCGGGGGGGTGCTTATTTTTTTTGGGGGGGGGGTGGATGTTATGGCCGGGGCCATGATCTCTCCCTGCGTTCCATGGCCCCTTCTTCTTCTTCTTCTTCTTCTTTTTCTTCTTCTTCTTCTTCCTCTTCTTCTTCTTCTTCTTCTTTCAGCGCCTTCCCTGGCGGCCCCCCGGGCCCGCGCACGTGCCCCTGGCCACGCTCTGCGGGCCCCTCCCTCCCAGGCCCCTCCCCTCTTGGACGCCCCCGACTGCTGGAACCCCCGGCCGCCGCGAGAGATTGCCGTCGCGCGGCCGCAGAGAAAGCTCCCGGGCAGCGGCCCCGCCGGCGTGCGGCAGGCTCCTGCCGCGCGCGGCGGCGGCGGCGGCGGCCCCGGCGCGAGCGCCTCCCGGGCGAGCGCCGCCGGCGGCCCTGCGCTGGCCAATCTGGAGAGGAGGAGGAGGAGGAGGAGGAGGAGGAGGAGGAGGAGGAGGAGGAGGGAGGAGGAGGAGGAGGAGGAGGAGGAGGAGGAGGAGGAGGAGGAGTGGAGGAGTAGGAGGGGGAGGGGGAGGGGGAGGAGGAGGGGGAGGGGAGGGGGAGGCGGATGATGATGATGATGATGATGATGATGATGATGATGATGATGATGATGATGATGATGATGATGATGATGATGATGATGATGATGATGATGATGATGATGATGATGATGATGATGATGATGATGATGCTGATGATGATGATGATGCTGATGATGATGATGATGATGATGATGATGATGATGATGATGATGATGAGATGATGATGATGATGATGATGATGATGATGAGGATGATGATGGATGAGGAGGAGGAGGAGGAGGAGGAGTGGTGGAGGGGAAGGAGGAGGCGGAGGAGGAGGAGTAGGAGGAGGAGGAGGAGGAGGAGGAGGAGGAGGAGGAGGAGGAGGAGGAGGAGGAGGAGGAGTGAGGAGGGGAGGGAGGAGGAGGAGGGGAGGGAGGAGGAGGAGGAGGAGGGGGGGAGGGGGAGGGGGAGGGGGATGGGGGAGGGGAGGGAGAGGGAAAAGGGCAGGAGGTCGTTGTCGTCGTCGTCGTCGGACCGAGGTATGAGCGCCAGGCTGTTCTCCCTTGAATCGACTGGTTCAGTGGAGCGCGGAGAACGATACGAAGAAGAAAACAAAGAGGGGAGCAGGAGGCACAGCCTTCTATTACTCGCGCTCCTCGAGGAGACCTCCGATGACGAGCTTGCCTCTGGGCGCCTGCCAGGGCGCTCTGGCAAGAGGTGCTCCTCGCGGGCGCGGGCCTTGGCCCCGGCACTCCTGCGGCGGAGTGCCTCCGCTCGGCGGCAAGCGATCCTCGACTGCGGGGGCGACACAAGTGCGCGCAGCTGGGGTGTCGAGGACGCGTGGGACCGCATTCACCAGGCGTGCGGGTTCCGCACGGCCCGGCAGGTCCCGGTCGTGGCCGTGGCGCTGCGCCGCGGCTCCGAGAGCTGGGGGGGGAGGAGGAGGAGGCGGAGACAGAGGCGCAGGAGGCGGAGGCGAGGGGACGAGCGGGGAGACCTCCCAAACCCACGGCTCGGTCTAAATCGTCCGGCTCTGTGGGGGGGTCCTTCCAGGAGGGGTCCAAGGCTGCAGGGAACCTCCGCTGCCCCTGGCTTCTGAGACAAAAGCGGTGATTTTTTTTCAGGGCCAACCCGTTCTGACTTCACTTGATCACTCTTGCCGCCTGCGAAGTCTGGAGCTGGGACAAACTCCTGATCGCACTCTTCTGTGCATGAAGCGTAAAAACGCATGAGGCTATCTGTCATATTTTGGTGGCCAACCTCGAACAAGGAACTGCTGCTTCCTCTGATGCTGCAACCTGCGACACACTGTCAATCATGACTGCTGCTACTGCTTTAAATCGGTTCGCGGTGGTTCGTGGCGTTGAAATCCCAGGAATGTTGTTTTGGCGCGACTGAGGATCATCAGATGGTTGTCTCCCCCCAATGTTTCACTTCCGCAGCGACAACACATTCTTGTGGGGTCCCGTATGAAGAGCGAAGATGGAGCGAGCGTTGGTTGCAATCTCGTTGATGCGTCTTGGTTTGGCACTGATCCTCCTCCTCTTTCCTCCTCCTCCTCCCCCTCCTCCTCCTCCTCATTATCCTCCCCCTCCCTCCCTACTTCCTCTCTGCCCCGCCCCCTTTGAGGTCCACTATGACATCCGCTGGCGGATAGAGGAACAACACAGACGCTGCATCCTCTCTGCCCCCCCATCGAGGTCCGCTGCGACACCCGCTGGCGGACATAGAAGAACAACGACGCGATGGGAGGGGACGGGAAGGAAGGGTAGGATGCTAAATGTGGCGCCAGCGCGCCTGGCTTCCCCAGGATGGACGAAGAGGAAAAGGGAGAGAAGGAAAAGGGAGGAGGGAGGGAGGAGGAAGGAGGAGGGAGGAGGAAGGAGGAGGGAGGAGGAAGGAGGAGGGAGGAGGGACCTTTCCGTCCTCCTGACCTTCCGCCGTCGCGCCCCCGCCAGCGCTCCCGCCCAGCCCCCACCCCCCGCTGCGCGGGCCAGTGGTCCGCGCAACGGCCGCGGGGGGCGGATGGCGGCGGTCGAGCGCTGGGCCGCGCCGGCGGCGGAAGGACGCGGCCGCCCCACGGACTCCAGCCACACAGGAGCAGCACTGGAGGAGGCAGTGTGGCGGAGATGAGGGGGGGGGAGGAGGAAGAGGAAGAGGAGGAGGAGGAGGAGGAGGAGGAGGAGGAGGAAGAGGAAAAAACGTATGAATGTGAAGAAGAAGAAGAAGAAGAAGGATACACAACTTACAACGAGTAATACTAAGAAGAAGACGAATAAACATACTACTAAGATGAGTAATAATACTAATAATACTCAGATTAAGAACAATAATGCCGATGCTAAGAATCATAATAATAAGAAGAAAGTAAGAAGACGAATAATACTACTACTACACATAAAATGGTACTAAACACAATAATAAGCAGACTCATAATAATACGATGACTCATAATAATGACAATACTAAGAATAGTAAGAGGGACGCGAATAATGATAAGGCTAACAACAATGAGAACTCGAGTGCGATTAATCATTTCACTACTAATAAGAAATATAAGGCTAATAATAAGAAGCGTAACACAACTAATACTGATAATAATCATATGAATCATCATAAGAACAAGTTTACGAATACTTAACATCATACTCATAATAATCATACTAAGAATACGAATACCAATGCTACTACTACTAATAATAATCGTATTAGTAATACACATATATAATGTTTTGATATCAGTAATGCTAATAATAATATTAATAATAAGTAGGGTACTACTACTACTACTAATGATACTACTATTAAGGATAATACTCATGATAATAAACATATTACCAATACTACTAGAACTATTAATACGAATAACATAATTTTTAGTAATAATAATATTTTTAGTAATAGTATTCATCATGCTACGACTACTACTAATACTAGTAATATTGATATTATATATTGCTGATATCACTGCTCATAATAATGATACCACTACTACTAATAATGACAAATCATAATAATACGAGTTATACTAATACTATTAATTCTACGATTACAAATCATATAACCTAATTTAATACAGTATAATATAATATAATACAATATGATATACTATAATATATATTGTAATGTATTGTAATATAATATAATATATAATGATATATATATATGTATATATATAATACATTATAATATAATGTGATATAATATGATGCAATTAATTATGGTATAGTATATCGTAATATAATGCAATATAATATAATATACCAGAATATATAGCATACTAACCTACGATATTATATTATAATATAATTTACTATAATAAAGTAGTGTAATAAACTTTAATGGAATAATGCTAATTATAATGACACTATTACTACTAATAGTAATACTCATATTCATAATGATAACACCACTACTGCTACTAATAATCATATGATCAATGGTAAGAAGACAACTGGTAACAATACTTATGATAAAAAGAAGAGGAGGAGGCGGAGGCGGAGGCGGAGGCGGAGGCGGAGGCGGAGGCGGAGGCGGAGGAGGAGGCGGAGGCGGAGGAGGAGGCGGAGGCAGAGGCAGAGGAGGAGGGGGAGGAGGAAGCTGCCCCTGTCCCGCCTCGGGGGCCTTCAGACGGGGGTCGATGCGCACGGGGGCCTTGAAACGGGGGTCGAGCGCAGGGTCCTGCAGGGCCAGGGTCGCATTGGCCCGGGTTTAGGTACAGGATCTTCAAGGATCCTGCAGATCTTGCAGGGCCTGATTGGCCCGGGTCTGGATTGGCCCGGGTCAGTAGATCCTCGACCGCCGATCTCGAAGAGAAGATCTCAGAACACTGGGCGGAAAAAGGATACCGCAGAGGCGGAAGATGTACCCATACCTCTACCTTTCCCTCGCGTTCCCCGTGTTGGGCCTCCCGGGAGGCCACCGCTGGAGTCGCCTCGAAGAAAATTGGTCGGAGCGCACCCCGGGCGGGGCCCGCGGAGCAGCGGCCTCGGTACCTCTCGGTCTCTGCGCGGCCTCGCGGGCCAGGCCTCTGGGCCGCGACCCCGCGGACATGGGGCGTGCTGTTCGCGGAGGCCCCGCGCGGAACGCGTCCGTGCGACCGCCCCGCCGCGCAGTCGTGCCCCGGAAGCCAGGCCGCGAGGGCGCGGAGTGTTCGCCGCCCGCGAGCACGAGCACGAGGCAGCAGGAGCTCCGCGCGGATGTCTCGGGGATCGGCGGCGGGTCCCCCTCGGCGGCGCCTCGGGCGTCGCCCCTTGGCGCGCTCCGCAGTCCTGGGGGGGCGGGGTCCCAGCACCGATGCAGGAGATTCGCGCGAACACTTTGGTGCATGCGGGCGTTTCTTCCTCTGCGATGCTCCTCGTCAGAGGGCCGCTCGGGGGCAACGTTATGGGGGATGTGCTCTTGGGGCGGTGCATGGACCCCCAATCGGCCATTGACCGCCGACAGGGGCCCGATAGGCCCACCCCGCCTGGGGCTGTGCGGATTCGCTATCGGGTGCCCATCGCGGATCTGACGCCGATGCATCCCCGATTCCAGGTCCATGTCTCCCCCCCTGAGCTGGTCCCCTCCTGACGTTGCCCCTTAGCCACGGTATTTCAGCCCCGCCAGCCCGCCTCCCCCCCAGCTGGGGACAGATCCCCCACCGAGCCCGAAGGGGACAGCACATATCCCCACCTGCGGGGCCAAGGCCATGTCAGCGGGGATCGGGTCGATCGGTCCAACGGTGCCTCGAGAGGCCGCGTGGCTCGGGTGCTGCCAGGCCCAGGCCTGCCTGGCGGATGGTTCCAAACCCTCCCATACTGTTGGGTCCGCGCCGCCGCGCGTCTCCTTCCCTCCAGCTCCCTCCCCTTCCTGTCGTTCCTCGAAGAAGAAAAAGCGGCATGCGCATGAGCTTTTGGCGCTCCGCGCGGATTTCTTGGATCCGTGCTGGCCCCTCCCCTGGTGGTGCCTTCGGCGCCGCCTCTGCCTGTCTCTCTTGAGCCCCCTGATAAGGCTCTACAATCAAGGTCCCCCGGCCCGAGCCGCCCGAAGTCCCTCCCCGCAGTCGAGAGGCTCGGGCGCCCTCGCCGACCTGGTCGAATTTTCCTTTGGGGGGGAGACAGACCCTCCCCCTCCTCCACCCCCCCTCCTCGTCCTCCTCCTCCTCCTCCTCCTCCTCCTCCTCCTCCTCCTCCTCTTCCACCCCTTCTCGTCGTCGTCGTCCTCCTCCTCCTCCTCTTCCACCCCTCCTCGTCCTCCTCCTCCTCCTTCTTATTCTCCTCCTCCTCCTCCTCCTCCTCCTCCGTCTCATTCTCCTCCTCGTCCTCCTCTCTCTCCTCCTCCTTCTCGTCGTCGTCCTCCTCCTCCTCGTCTCCTCCTCCTCCTCCTCCCTCCTCCTCCTCCTCCTCCTCCTCCTCCTTCCCCCTCCTCCTCCTCCTCCTCCTCCTCCTCCTCCTCCTCCCCCTCCTCCTCCTGGACTCTGGGACGTCTGGGGGCCTCGCGGCCCTCCCTCCCTCCCCCTTCGGGCCCGCCCCGCCCGCAGGACGCAGCGCGCTCCCGCTGCCCTCGGGCGGTGGCGCCGCCGCCCCGGCCTGCCCGGCGCCGGGGCCGGCGCCGCCGCCCGCGGCGAAGCGGCGGCGGACCTCGGGAGGCCCCGCGCCGGCTGGCCGGGGAGGGCCCGGGCTCCGCATCGTCTCGCCGAGCCCCATGCCCATCCCCATCCCCTTGGAGGCCCCGACCCCTTGGTCGTCGTCCTCCTCCTCCTCGTCCTCCTCCTCCTCCTTCTCCTCCTCGTCCTTCTCCTCCTCCTCGTCCTCCTCCTCCTTCCCTCCTCCGACTTCTGGTGGTGATGGTCACCTCGGTATCGTTCATCCGATCCCCATCGCCATTTCCATTCCCTTCGAGACCCTCACCAAATTACCCCCCCAGTTGGGGATGCACCCCTCGAAGGTCGAAGGATACGGCCTATATCCCCATCTATGGTAGTACATCGGCCAGCGGGGCCCAGGCCACGCCGCTGGGGATGGGGATCAGTTAAACGATACTTATGGGCTCTCTGCCCAGACAGGATCGCGTCGTCACAGAAATCAGGGCGGGAGGTTTTGGGGCAGTTTTCGGCCGCGGGGGGCTCTCGCCAGGCCTCGGGAGCGTCAAATAACGGCTCGGGATGAAAAGCCCGTCCTGGGGAGAGGGACGTTGCTTAGAGGGACCCCGTCCTGAAAAAATCAGGACGTCGCATGTCTGGGTAGGCCTCCTAGATGGGTTCGGAATAGATGGGGTCGGCAGATCGCGCCGCGTCGCTGATGCATCGGCGATGCATCAGCGATGCATCGCCGATGTGTGGCGACGTCGGCGATGCATCGGCGACGTCGGCGTGGAGAAAATTGGGCGTGGAGTAAATGGAATCCTCCGACCCCATTTGCTCAGAGCCCATCTAGGAGGCCTCGAGGCTCTCAGGCGGCCGGGAGGCCCGAGAGGAGGGCTAAATTGTTGACTCTTCGCGAATCCCCACCAGCCCATCCAGAAACAATGCCCAGTGCCTCGATCAGGGAAGCGGGCAGCACACAGAGGAAGGGTCCCCCAGTGGAGGCTGCTTGGAGCGTTTTGGGGGCCTCTTGGCGGTCCTGGACGCCTCTTAGAGCGTCTTGGGTGCCTCGGAGAGCTTCTTGGGGCCTCTCTTGGGGGTCTCTTGGAGGCCTCTTGGGCGCCTGTTGGGGCCTCCTGGGGCCTCCTGGACGCCTCTTGGGGCCCTCTTGAAGCGCTCTTGGGAGCCTTGGGAGCGCTCTTGGAGCCCTCTCGGGCCATCTTGGAGCCATCTTGAGGCCTCGGCGGAAAAGCCAACAACATGGTTTTTCCCTAGGTTTTGGAAGGATGTTGGCCTCTTCGGGGCCTCCTGGGGGAGCTCTTTGGCCACTTGGAGCCGTCTTGGAGCGGTCTTGGGGCGCATCGTGGGCGCCATCTTGAGGCATCTTGGGATATCTCGAGCCATCTTGGAGATCATCTTTGGCTCTCCCAGGCGCTTTTGGAGTCATCCGAAGCAGTGCCCCCCCCCAGGAGGCCAAAATGTGGCCAAAACCTTAGTAACATCAGCGATTTTGGCATTGTCGCCGAGGCCTCTTGGAGCGTCTTGGGTGCCCCTGGGTAGCCTCTTGGGGCCTCTTGGAAGTCTCTTGGAGGTTTCTTGGGAGCCTCTTGGGGGCATCCTGGGGGCCTCCTGGGGGTCTCCTGGGGCTTCCTGGCCACCTCTTGGAGCACTCTTGGGGCACCCTTGGGAGCCTTGGGGGCCATCTTTGGGCCATCTTGGGTGAGATCGATCACAGGAGGGGGGGGTGTTTAATTAGGCCCCCCCCTCAGGAGGCCAAAACGGGGCCAACGCCCAGGTAAAACCAATGATTTTGGCTTCCTCGTCGAGGCCGTTTTGGGCGCTCCGACACCTCGCGAAACCCCTTGTCCAGGTCGATGGGGAGGGGGTAATTAGGGGGAGGGGTAAACCCCTCCACGATGGGGAACAAGGAGGGGTGGAAGAGGAAACGCTCTAAACCACCGATGCCGAGAGGGCTGGTGGGATTCTCATGGCGTTTTCGTTGAGACCTAAAATCAGGGGGGGCTGGAAGGGATGCGGAAAAGTGGGTGCAAGTCTAACAGCAGGTCGTAGCTCCTTTGGACAGGGTTCGCTGTCGGCGTCGCCGCGGCTTTGGCCCATTCGAAATATAAGCTCGCCTGCCGAGCAGCGGCCACCGTCGGTTTTGGACAACGTTTGTTGTTGAAGATCGTGTCTAGTTTTTCCGCACCCATTTCGGGCGTCCAAGCAAACAAGTTTATTTGCCCCTTTCCTCTCCGCCGCCTTCTCAAGCAGCGCTGGGCAGAGGAGGTGTGCAAGCGAGTCCCGACTTGCGTGAAGTCTGGATTTCCTTCGGACGTTTCTGGGCGAGCATGTGTGTGACGACACCATTCTGGGTCATCAGCAGAGGACATGGCGATATTAACGATACCATTTGGCTCAACATTGCGAAGCAAGGTGCAACATGGCAGAGCATGGAGATCCAATGCGTGAGTGCGAAGTGAGAGCACGTGCGCATGCTTTCACACCTTCTTCATAGGGGCTACGGCCCGACTCGTCCCGCCCAAATGGGCGCGGCCCTACGACCAGTGGGGCCGGATGGACGCTCGCTCGCTCGCTCGCTCGCCACGCCCCCCCCCTCTCCCCTCCATGCAAGTCACTGGGCCGGAGTCTGCAGGAGAACGGCCTCCCTTCTGGAGGTCCGGGGAGGCGGCGGAGCTCCCGGTGGTGTGCCGAAATCTGGCCTGGCCACGCGAGCAGCATTTTTCGGCACCAGGGGGGCTTCCGAAGAGTGGTGGCCACGTGCTCATCTGGAGGTGGGACGGGGAGAGGGGCGAGCTTGCTCTTGCCACTGCAGTGCGCTTGCTCTCTTCTTTTCCACCGAGTCGGGTGTCAAGCCAGCGAGTCATTAGTAACGCTCCCCTCGCAATGTTTTGTTGCGCCGCCAGTACCTTCCAACTGAGGGTTAGCGGCGCTATATATTATGCCAAATGAGTATCTGCGTTACTTTTCGCAGCTACCTGTGCTTAGAGGTAAGAAATACCTCGCTCGCGCCCGCGCGCCCTCCTTCCGGTCGGGCGCTTCTGTCTACACGCGTACTTACCCTAGCACATTTGCTTAATGGACATCCTAACCATGGCATCAAGTACGTCATCTCCGAGGCTTAATTTGGGACCGCTATCAAAACATGAACGACCAGAACATGCAAGCCAAGAGCCTACCAACAGGATCAACGCCCGAACCCATGATGAATAGGCACAGTGATGGTTGTCAGCCGAAAGCTTCACCACGAGGTCACGAAGCTGTGCGTCCTGTCTCGAAGGTAGGTGTACCAAGTAATCAAGAGCAATGCCACGGCCCAAAAGGAATCCACCATATCGTCTTCGAGACCGAGTCCCCTGCGAGGACGAGGGGTGGGAGAGAGCGAGGGGAGGACGGATGTTGATTTGACATGGGGGAGGCCTCTTTCGGCCGATAAGGGCAGAAGGACAGCGATCGCGAAAGCGGCCACGCGCGTCGGCATCATGGCATCATCGGCCGCCACCTCCCCGTTTGCCTCTCTCTATGCTGCCTTCTTGCCATTCCCCTCCTTGCCCCTCCCCTTCCTGCCCGAAGCCATCTCCGGGGCAGCGTCAGGGGGGGGCGGGGGAATGAGCTCAGGGCGGGATGCATCGACCCCCAGTGTCGCACGGATCGCCGATAGAAGGGGGGGCCCGACAGCCCGCGCCGCCCAGGAGCGAGCGGACTGGCTATGTCGAGTGTCTGCCGCCGATCAATCGGTGATGTATATTGGCCTCGGAAAAAAAATAGCGAGAACACTCATGCCACTTTCATCTGTGAACGCCTCCCCCCCTCCCCCCAATGTTCAAAGTTGGCGGTGGGTCTGATGAGTTGCACCTCGACCGCAGTCTTCCCCCCGCGTGCCAACTTTGAGTTTGGGGGGCAGGGGGGGTGTTCACTAATTGTTTCCCTCTACCGTATGGCCTATTCCAGATCGATGTTCCCCCCCCCCACCGCTCTTTCCCGCCCCAAGGTTCCCCGTCGTCTGTCAGTCCTTCCCCCTCCTTCTCCCTCGAAGGGAGAAGGGGCCGGCCTTCTCAGAGGGCTCGGGATCCCCCCGGCCTCCCGAGAAGTTTCTGAGCCTTCCCCGAGGACACAGCAAACATCATCCCAGAGCGCGCGAGGGCCTCTGAGAAGTCCCGCCGCCTTCCGAGAAGGCCTTCTCTCCTTTTCGCTTCCACCCCTCGCTCTCCGCCGATCGTACAGTGAGCGGCTTGAATAAGGAGCACTTGCTTTTCAAAAGGGGCTCGGTCGTTCCTCAGGTCTTACGCGCGTTATTTACAGCTCCTCATGCGTGATCTATTAGTTCTCGTTCCTTGTGCGTGATTCCTTGGGGCAAAAAGGGGCTCAGTTCCTCATGCGTGATCTATTAGTTCTCGTTCCTTATGCGTTATTCCTTGGGGTAAAAAGGGGCTTCGTTCCTCACTTATCGTTCCTTAGGTCAGGCCGATGACTGTAAGCAGGCCCCCCCTTTTCCCCGCCCTCGCGCGCCGCGGAGGCCCACACCTGCGCGTGGCCGTCGTTTGCGGCCCCTCGACGGAGGGCCTGCCCCTGGCCGTGGTCCTCGCCGAGTGCCGCCGGCATGTGTGTTGGGGGGCGAGGGCACGGAGCAGAGGGGGAGGGGAAGAGAAGGGAGGAGGACGGCGAGGAGGGAGAGGAAGAGGAGGCGGAGGGTGAGGAGGAGGAGGAGGAGGAGGGGGAGGAGGAGGAGGAGGAGGAGGAGGAGGAGGAGGAGGAGGAGGAGGAGGAGGAGGAGGAGGCGAGGAGGAAGAGGAGGAGGTCCTGAGCACCCCTGACGAGCTCTCTTCACAAAAGGGGCTTGCTTGTATGAGTTTTCACCCTGTGCAATGAACTAGGTCCATTGACCTGCGTTGGATTAACACGTATTCACACGCACACGAATTTGTTGCGATATAGCCAAACGTCTCCGAATGAGTTTAGAATGAAGTGCAGCAGCTCTCGATCGGGTATACGTATACCATAGAGTAGAGTATAGAGCTTGTGAATTCGAGCGTAGAGTAGAGTGGACAATCGAATCGGAGGTAATCTATATGGTTTCATGTGATGGAGCGGTAATGCCATACATCAAGTATCGAACTCGGTTCGTGGTGCCAGTGGGTGCTATCGCATGCCGCCCCGCGCCCGCCTCGGCGCGCCCGTCGGAGGTTTTTGTGCCCCACCGTAAGGAGCCCAGCGCGCGGCCCCACAGACAACGCTTGGTTGGGGAGAAGGTGACGCAGGGCGGGCCGGGTGGGGTGAGACGGGTTGGGCGAGGCGGGCGCGGGCGGGGCGCCCCCCGCCACCCTCGCCTCCCGCTCCCGCTCCCGCCGCCAAGTCCCCCTGCGCTTCGACCTCCACTCCCACTCCGCACTTCCACTCCCGCCTCCACCTCCCCCCCGCGTCCGCGTCTGCGTCCGCGCCGATGCCCACGCCCGCGCCCGCGTCCACGTCCGCCGCCGCCGCCTCCGCCTCCACCTCCCGCGTCCCTGCAGGTCTCCCCCCCGCTGCTGCTCTGCCCGTGGCCAGGCGCGGGCACAGCGTCGTCGTGGTGGACAGCGACGCGGCGAGGCCGCCGCAGCCGACCCGCCCCTGTCGCGCTTGGTGCCGCTCTCTGGTCCCTCCTCCTCCTCCTCCTCCTCCTCTTCCTCCTCTTTTCTTCCTCCTCCTCTTCCTCTTCCTCCTCCTCCTCCTCCTCCTCCTCGTCCCCCCTCCTCGCCTCCGAACCTTCTTTGTGCCCCCCGTGCTCGACGGCCCCGAGATGGGAGCGGCGCGGGACACACGCCTTGCTGCTCGACGGCCCCTCTGAGGCGCGCCCCCCTCTCCCCCCCCCCTCGCCAGCCCCGGGCCCCCTGCAACTCCCCTCCCCTTCCCCTTGCCCTCCCCCCGCGCCCTCCTGTGCTTTGTTCCACTCCGTCCCCGCCCACCTCCCCATTCCCCCTCCTTCTCCCTCCCTCATCGCCTCCCTCCTCCTCCCTCCCCACTCCTCCCCCCTCCCCCTTCCTCCTCCCCCCCTCGCCCTCACCTCCTCCTTGCCGAGGTCCCGGGAGTCTCCAGATGTCTCCGTCCTGCACCTCATCCGCTTCCTTCCTTTCTCTCGTCGTCTGTCTCTTCTCGGGCTCTTCCCGGCCCCAGGCCCCTGCTGGTCCCCACATTGCTGAAACCAAGACCGCTTTCGCGAGTCGCTGACAACAAATGGCCTTGGCGCGGGTTGCACTTCGTGCCCTCGATGTGCAGCGCGAAGGCGTGAGTCGGCCCGAGTATGGCCGAGGCGCCACCGTGCGCAGAGGCGGCAAAACCAGCATGAACACTGTCTTTCGACAGCCTGCGTTCGGCGGCACCCCAACATTCTCATACTACATGTGCGTCGCCCCTCAGGGGCGACGCGCGCACCGAGAAATCTTATAATATATGCGTCATGGCGGGCGCTTTCTCTCCACACATCGCTCGGGAAACGATCTACTACAAGATGGGTATGCTATATGTTCGGGTCGGACGCGCGCCTCCAAGGAGGACATATAGTATTAGTATGTCCCCGTGCGTCCCATGCGTGCATCGATCGGGTGGCGCTCGGCTCGGTACGATGCCGCGCGACGGTTCAGAACAGTTCGCATAGCTCTGAGCAGGCCGGCACGACCAAAGCACCACCGTGCACCGCGTGCGCGCCGCCCTGTCTTGATGGGCCTGTTATCCACCACCACCATCACCATAAGTTGGAGGGGGAGGGGGTCCTCCTCCTCGTCCTCCTCCTCCTCCGCCTCACTTCCTTCTCCTTTTTGATAACTTCTCCCTGTCGCACCCCGAGGCCAGTTCTTAGGGCGGGCCAGGCGTTACGCTTGAGACTTCCTCACCACTCATGACTCTGAAGCTTAAAAAGTGAAGAGTTTCACAGAGGGAGGGCGGGTGGTTTTCAAACTGTGGCTCTCGCTCTAGGGCGGCGCACTTTTGTTTTCAAAATGTGGCTCTCGCCTTAGCGCCGCGCACCTTCGTTTAAAACATTGGAATAATTTCACGGATTGAGGGCAGGTGGTTTTCAAAATGTGGCTTTCGCGTTAGCGCCGCGCACATTCGTTTCAACAGTTTGCAAGAGTTTCACGGATTGAGGGCGGGTGGTTTTCACTTTTTTGTTTTTTATATTATACTTATATATATATATATATATATATATATATAAATAAAATCCTTTCCTCCCCCCAGCCATCCTGTGGTGTTGGGTCCTCATTTTGAAGAGACGGTGCTCCGCCCTCCCCCTCCTCCCTCCTCCCTGCGTTTCACCCACCCAGCACAGCGTTTCCTGGTCCCATACGCAGCTCCCCCTAAGGTCCCAGTGGCGCAGCCCGCATGGCGCCGCCGCCCCATTTTGGCACACCCCTCACACGTTTCGTGGCCCCATAGGGAACTCCATCTGGGGTCCCAGTGGCGCAGCCCGCATGGCGCCGCCGCTCCATTTTGGCACACCCCTCACAAGTGTTGTGGCCCCATAGGGAGTTCCATCTAGGGTCCCAGTGTCGCAGCCCGCATGGCGCCGCCGCTCCATTTTGGCACACCCTCACGCTTCGTGGCCCCATAGGGAGTTCCATTTAGGGTCCCAGTGGCGCAGCCCGCATGGCGCCGCCGCCCCAGTCTGGCACACCCCTCACACGTTTCGTGGCCCCATAGGGAGCTCCACCTAAGGTCCCAGTGGCGCAGCCCGCATGGCGGCGCCGCCCCATTGTGGCACACACTTCACAAGTTTCGTGGCCCCATAGAGAGCTCCGTCTGGGGTCCCAGTGACGCAGCCCGCATGGCGCCGCCGCCCCATTTTGGCACACCCCTCACACGCTTCGTGGCCCCATAGGGAGCTCCACCTAAGGTCCCAGTGGCGCCCTCACACGTTTCGTGGCTCCATAGGGAGCTCCATCTGGGGTCCCAGTGGCGCAGCCCGCATGGAGCCGCCGCCCCATTTTGGCACACCCCTCACACGTTTCGTGGCCCCATAGGGAGCTCCATCTAGGGTCCCAGTGGCGCAGCCCGCATGGCGGCGCTGTCCTATTTTTGGCCCCCCCCGTCGTCTGTCTGCCCAGCGGCCACAGCCTTGCCCGCTATCAGCCAGCCAGCTAGCTCTCTCTGCTCCGCGCAGCGGACGACCCGTGCGCGTCGCCGGGACCTGTTCGGGGCGACCGGCGTGCGTCGCGGGGACTCCGTGCGGCGCCGCGCCCGCAGCCTCGGACATGGGCGTTCATGGGCAACGAGAGAAAGAGAAAAAGAACGGGAAGGAAGCGGGCGCGATCCTGGGGAGGAGCGTGCCGACATGGGCGTCGACGTTTGTGCACGTAGACTGATTCGCACGCAGACTCATTCACAATCGAATTCACTCGCGTTCAGTCTCTCGTGCGCAGACCTATCGTCTTCGCTCGCGTTGTGTGCCCCGCCACGCATGTCGGCACGCCCCTCGCACGGTCCGTGGCCCCATGGGGAGCGCGGGCAAATATCTGATTCAGATTTGCGGTGTTCACAACTGCATATGGTTGTGTCCTTCGCCAGGACCATTTTTTATATAGATACAGGTATGTTTGTATCTATATTCATATATATATATATACACAATATGCAAGAGTTTCACGGATTGAGGGCGGGTGGTTCTCAAAATGTTACTCTCGCCTCAGCGCCGCGCACCTTCGTTTAACACTTAACAGAAAATTCACGGATTCGGGGTGGCTCTTTCTCAAAATGCGTCTCTCGCCCTAGCGCCGCGCAGTTTCGTTCAGGAAATTCGCAAGTGTTTCACGGGTTCCCATAATCAGCGTCCCAGAACTGATGTTTTGGACGGATTCAGGATTATGCGGGCGCAGCAGTTATGTTGATTCGCCGTGTTTTGGCATGCTTCAAGGTCCTCAAGGGTGTCTCCCAACGAGGCAGTTCCCTCAATAGAAATGAGCCGTTGTAAAGGGCCTATGAAGAGGGAGCTTGGAGGGAGGGTGAATTCCAACATCGTTGATAACCCTTTGGTTTACACTGGTCCCTCGTCCTCCTCCTCCTCCTCTTCCTCCTCCTCCTGCTCCTGCTCCTCCTCCTCCTCCTCCTCCTCCTCCTCCTCCTCCCCCTGCCTCCTCCCCCTGCCTCCTCCTCCCTCTCCTCCTCCCCCTGCCTCCTCCTTCTCCTCCTCTTCCTCCTCCTCCTCCTCCTCCTCCGTCCTCCTCCCCCTGCCTCCTCCTCCCCCTCCTCCTCCTCCTCCTCGTCGTCGTCGTCGTCGTCGTCGTCGTGGACTGCAGGCCCAACGTGTCTCTGCGGTCGGGGGCTCGGCCCGCCGCTTCCGGGGCGTGTGGAAGAGGCCACCCCGGCTTCCAGAAAGGGCGGCGCGGCCGGGCCACGCGTCGCTCGCCGGCCGGAGTCGCGAGGTGGTCGGGTTTCACAGCACCACCCACCAAGCCACCCCAACCCAACCCGAAGGCTCAGATCTACCTTCGATTTCCAGTGTGGGGGGGTCGGGAAACATCGAACAAAACACATGTGGAACCCTTACCCCCCCCCAGCCCGAAATTCGGGTCTTCGGGTTGGGTTGGGGTGGTCTGGTAGGTAGTCATCACAAAGAAAAAATCGGCGGCGACGACAGGGGCGAATAGCCCATGGGGCGGGCACTGCACGCATTCGCCCGGGAGCCTTTCCGAAGACATGGATCATCGGCGCACCTGACTACATCTATTGCTCTCCCCTGGGCTATTCGCCCCTGTCGTCGCCTCTGAAGGATGACAGGGTGTCCAGGGGGAAAGGGGTTCTGATTTTCGTTCGCCATGTTCGGCCTCCAGGGGCCTATTTTCCCCAGCCTGGGCCGTCCGCGCACCATGCGGGGCGAGGAGCCTGTCATGGGGGCATCTCCAGGGTCCAGGGCTCGGTCCTCTGCGGACCAGCTTCTGTCACGGCGACAGGTTGCGAGGCCAGTCATGCGATCCGAGCGTGTGGCAACGCGATCGATGTCCCACGCCAGGCAGATATCCAGGTCACGAGGCGACGCGATCGGGGACACGTGGTATTGTTGGGTTGTCGGGGAAACGTGCCGACTGGAGTGGGTCGGATGCGGCCTAACATGTGCCCGAAAAAGCAGTGTGACCGAAAGTGTTACCGAGATTGAACGTTGTATTGGTATCAAACCGCACAATTCGGTCACACTCGGGCTCGCTCGGACACATAGGGCGCCGGTTTCGATCACGCTCGGGCTTTGGGGCACAGCTTCGGTCGAGCGCGCCTAAAAGAGGATGTGGTTGTCCCAGGTCCTTTCGCTTCGTCGGTCTGAGAGCAAGGCTCCGCACTGGCGGCCAGAGTTTGACGACGCCCTTGGCGCGGCGGTTGGCATGCGGCCGATGTTCGTATCGAGGAATCGGGTCAGAGGCCAGGGGACAGCATTAGTGTGGCTCCAGTAGGTGCCCCGACGGATTTTTGGATTTCTAGCGACATCAAATAGCCCTTCGAATTGCACGCATCTCCATTCTCTTCCTCTCTATTGTTGACTGCGAACTAGGCAGTAGATCCATGAAACTCGTCTGACGCAAACCATCCAGCCAAGTACCCATCCAGCTGATCTTGCTTCCAGCTGTTGAGAGTTCCAGCATCTCTCGGTGTCGCTCTCTTGTCTCCCTGGCTCGTCGTCCACTGTTCCTGCGCGCATCCCATGTGCCGTCTGCGAGCGGCGAGGCTGGAGTCGCTGCGCGACGGCAGGCTTCCGTTCCTGGAGGCGGGTCCTCGGCAGCGTGCAGGGTGGGGCAGGGGAGAGATCGCACGCCGACCCCTGCTGTCAAGCCGCACCGAGCCAAAGCGCCCGCCTTCCTTGGATCCCGCAGCGCCTCCTCTTCCTTAATGGAGTGCGGCTGCTTCAGTGGCCTGCTCGGTGGAGTCCTGGAAGCGGGGAAGCAGAGACACCCCGCTCGCTGGTGCCCGAGGCGAGGAGGGGGGCGCGTGGGAGTGAGGCCGCCAGGGACTCGTATCCCAGGACTCCGATGCCTGGCCTGTCCTCATTGTTAAGCAGGTATGCGGGTGTTGTTCGGCGGGGCGTGTCTGTATAGGATACAGAGGACAGAGTAGGAGGGAGAGGAGGACGAGGATGAGGAGGATGAGGATGAGGAGCAGTCAACATCAATTTGCACCACCAGTAGTGGTGATAACCATTGTGGCCACGCGAAAAGAAGAGGACGACCCATACATGGAACGTTTTGATTCAAGACGCTTCGCGTGCACCACCTGTCCATTCCAGTGCTCGCTGGAAGAGACGAAGACGGGGCCAAGACGGGATGGCAACATTCCGAAACTGGTGCAACATTTCCCCGCACACCTGCTTGGTGTTTTCGCCTGCGCTCCATGTCTCCTCCACCCCATCGCCGCTTTGGCTCGGGCATGCCTCTGGCGAGTCGAAACGAGCTCTGCCGAGTGGTCGTCGGCCCGCCATCATCGTACACAGGGATTGCTGATATGGGCGCTGGCTCTCTTTGACCCCTCCTCACTTGCCACGGCAGGAGGCCCGAGAGAGCTTGAATTCTGCCCAAGGCCAGCTGTGAGAGGGCCAGGAGCTGCGCTGTCAGGGCGCCTGGGAGGGCCGAGGAGGGCCCCGAGAGGGGCCCCCACATGGGGGCCAAGAAGGGCCCGAGGCTGCCCAGCGACAGCACCTCCGCGTTGGGTCGCCGCCACGTCCGAGTGCCACCACTTGGCCGGGATCTGGGTCGTCGGGTCCAGAATCGTCCAACATAGACCCCGGAGCGCTTTCCAGAACGGCGTTCGACACCGGCTGCTGGAACTAGAGTAGGCGAGCTCGAACATCAGCCATAAGAAGCGTCCAGGCGACCCCCGGCGAGGCGAAACGCATGAACAGCCCACGATTTTTCCCAATCTTTTTGCAGGCTCGAGTTTGTAAACGAAGTTGGGCCCACGATGCGTTCTGGAGGGGCCCTTGGAGGCGATGGCGAGGGCGAAGGAGGGGCCCCACGGGGGACAGCGTGCAACCCAAGTACGCCCCGAGGTTGTATTCGGAGCAGTCTGTGGTATGAGGTCGTCTTGGACGCCATCTGGAAGCTGTCGTGGAGCTCGAAGAGTGTCGCGAAGCCAGGCGGCGGAACGGCGGAGGTCGACGGCGAGGCGCCGCTCACTGTGCAGCAGAGCCTCTAGGCCCTCGTCGACGAGTGGACGACCTACTCGGGCGTGGTCGCGCCTACTCCGAATCAGGCAACTGCAGTAGAGTGCTGGCGCGAGGCCCGTGGGCCCTACGAGTGCCGCGGGCCCCCGTTCGGGGGTCGCAGTCGGCGCGAGGAGCGGGAATCGCGCCGCTGTCTCGGGCAGCGTGCAGCGTGGTGGGCGAGGTCCGCAGCCGCGGGGTGTGTGGCGGGGAAGGAGCTCGGCGAGCGTCCTATGGCCGCCCCCCCCCGACCCTCGCAGCCCCCTGCGAGAGCCCCTCGAGAGGCAGAGCACGAGAGGCACCGCTTAGACTGGTCCGAGCACCTTGGGGAGGGCCCCGTCGGCCATTTGTGACAGAGCTGCGGAAGGTGATCGCGTCGTTCAAGCCACATCTGAGGTCCAACTTCGACAGCAGTCGTCCGAGCGGGTTCAAGTTATTCGACGACCAGGGTGTCGAAGCGCTCATAGATTTAGTCATGTCCATCGATCAACCGGCAGCCTGGCCAAGCCTCATCACCAAGATGGCCTTCATTCCCAAAGCTGACGGGGGCCTTCGGCGCATAGCCTTGTTGGCTGCCGTGGTCAGGGTTCATGGCAGGGTGCGCAGGCCCCTCATGCAGCAGTGGGAGAAGGACACCGACAGGCTGTACTGGTGGGCACGCTCAGGGCGTTCGCCTGACGGAACGGTGTGGCAGCAGCAGGCGCGGTCCGAGAGGATCGCCATGATGGGCGAGCCTCATCTTGATCAAGATTTGGGCGTCTGTCAGCATCCTGCTGGATCTCTGGAAGGCCGTCGAGCAGGTCTCCAATGCGTGCCTGGTTCAGGCTGCCATCGGGTATTGGTTTCCGCTCTGGCAAGCCGTAGGTCTCGCTCTACCGCGCACCCGCGGTGCTCCACCTGGACGGCTGCTGCTCGCAGGAGTTGGAGGTGTTCCGGACGGTCCTGGCTGGCGACGCGTTCGCCCCAGGGTTCATGAACCTCATGCTCTTGCAGCCGCTCGACGAGATGGTGGGTAGGTTCGGGGCCGTCACTCCTGCAATCGTGGTGGATGATTTGATCCTCCAGCGCTGGGAAGGCACCCAGAGGGTTCAGGACGACCTTGTCGGCGCCACTCGCATCCTCGTGGACCAGCTCTCGCTGGTCAAGCTCAAGATCGCAGTCAAGAGGTCGAAGGTGCTGGCCAGCACAGGTCGATTGCGCATGCAGGTACACAGGCAGCTGCTAAAGGTTTTTGGCGCGCAGGGTGCTCGACATGCGCGCGACCTGGGCGTCGATCGCACGGAACGGCTCCGTGCCGCCATGGCGTTCAGGCAGCATCGGTTCGCCGGCGTCGAGTTGCGCCTAGGCAAGGTCAGGGGCTCCTTGGGCCTGCGGCGTGGGCGCGCGGCAGCGGCCGAGGTGGCGTTCACGGGGTCCCCCCCTCGGCCATGTACGGGGTCAATTGCACAAGCCTCATGCGCAGTGAGCTGGCCAAGATGAGGTCGGCCACGCTGCGCGCAGTGAAGCAGCGGCCCGCAGGCAAGAACGCCACGGCTCTGCCGATGCTGGCAGGGTTCAAGACGCTCGACCGGATCTTCGCGGCGACCCCGGGGCCAGTCATGATGCTGGCCAAAGCGGTGCGGAAGAATTGGTTCCCGAACACCATCCTGCAGCGTGCGTTCGGGTGGAACGTCCGTGCCGCCAAGCATTGGGGTGATGTGCGAGGGCCGCTAGGTGCTGCTGTCGTGTCGCTCCGAAGGATAGGTTTGACGCTCGGCTCGGACAGGGGGGGCCGCGGGTAGTTAGAGCGTCCAAGAACGACCCCTGGGAGGGCTAAAATTCGTCACCCCTCGCGAGGATCGTGCACCCCAGGGGGGCGACGCTAAAAAATGCTTCCCCCTTCTGCGATCGATGTCCTCCAAGAGGGCCTCAAGAGACGTCTCGGACTCTCCTCTTGCGCCCTGCGCGCGGGCGGGCGGAGCGCCGCCCGCCCGCCCGCGGGGCCCGAGAGCCCGCCAAAACGTTCGAAGATACCTCCAAGACGCCACCAGGGAAGAGGAAGAGGAGGAGGAGGAGGAAGAGGAGGAGGAGGAGGAAGGGAGGAGGAGGAGAAGGCGGAGGAGAAGGAGGAAGAGGGGGAGGAGAACAGCTGCCGATCATCGGCGCTCTTCGTTCGAGTGCCTGGTGTAGGATGGGCTGGTGGGGATGCGCGAAGCGTCAAGAATTGGTTCCCGAACACCACCCTGCAGCGCGCGTTCGGGTGGAACGTCCGTGCCGCCAAGCATTGGGGTGATGTGCGAGGGCCGCTAGGTGCTGCTGTCATGTCGCTCCGAAGGATAGGCTTGGCGCTCGGCTCGTTCATTCACTGGCTCACAGATGCGGGCGAGCAGCTCAACCTGGCGACCGGTTCGCCCTGGGCCGTCAATCAGTTGGTCACGAGGAGCGTGGAGAGGTGGCAGCTTGCTCAGTTGGCGATGTCCACGCATCAGGGTATTCATGCTGCAGGCGGCGCCTTTCTACCGCAGGTGCGTCGGTGGGTCGCGACGGGACAGGGGCCCGCCAAGCTCGCCAGTGCGTGGCGCTCGCTCGCGCCGAGTGGTGCGGGGCATGCCAGGTCATGCCTTGTTGACGGCCGCTGGCTCAACGAGCGGCGGTGTGCTGCTGGCCTCAGTTCGTCTTCTGCCTGCTCGTTGTGCCTTGGCAGGCTGGGCGCGCTCTGGCATCGACGCTTGGAATGCCAGGGGTCGTGGCCCGACCTCGCGCTCCTCACCGGGATGGAGCGGCTCCTGGACAAAAGGCGACGCCATCACCGTTCGCGCGCTGCTGGAGAGGCTCTGGCTACCAGAGCCGCCCGCGGAGTGGGGCCCCCCCCGCTGACGACATCCTGGCGCGCGCGCAGTGGATCAAAGGCTGCGACGAGGGTATGCCGTCTGCAGAGCCCGACTTGTGCGCTGACGGGGCCGTCGACGGCGGCGCGAGGATCGTGTGCGCCGTTCCTGCGGTAATCGCCCTTCCCCAAGGAGGCGACGAGGTTGGCCCTGGGCCTCGGTCTATCACGCGAGCTTCAGGTTCGCTGCTAGCTGGGGCCCGTCAATCCATTGATGGAGGAGGGCTGCTGTCGCTCCTCATCCTGCTCAGGCGCGCGATCCCACCTGTCGTCGCTCATTTTCGCGCGGAGTACGTGGTGGAAGGCATCGGCGAGCGTGGTCCGCAGACCGCTGCGAGCAGCAAGTCCGCCTGGGCCGAACTGTGGGTTCGGGTTTGGCACGCCGTCGAGGAGTTCGGCGGCCTCGGCGACCAGGGCCTCGAGGTGGTCAAGGTCAAGGCGCGCGCCTCTGTCCAGCGCGTCTAGGAGGGCCTGGTCACGGCCAGGGCGAGGCGTGGCAACCTGGAAGCAGATCTGTGCGCCGACTTCGTTGCAGCTCATGCTGTGGCGCCAGACAATGTGCGGTGGGTCATCTCGGCGAGGCAGACCATGGTGGGCGCGGCCTTCTATTGGGTCTCCGTGGCTGGCTGCGTCGCCGCGGATCGTCGCGGGGGCACCTCCAGCGGGAAGGTCTCGGGGCACCTCGGCGATATGTCGCAGCTGCTCCTCGCCAGCCACGAGGTGATCGAGGCCCCCCGCGGTGGCGTCCACTGCCTGCGCTGCCCCGAGACGGCTTGCGGCGACACCGTCAAGGCGCGTTTCTGGGCCAAGCCGTGCGCGCCGAGGCCCTGCGCCCCGCCCCTCTCAGGCGGGCCCTCGCGCGAGCGACCTGCCGGGGCAGCCTTGGCGACGGCGGCCGCAGCGGCGGCGGCGTTTTTTGCCGTGGCAGCGGCTGGCGAGTCTGAGCAGTGCAGCGGCGCCGACGAAGTCAGGGGGGCCGCTAAGGCACCCAAGACGACCATGCAGAAGATCGCCCTCCTGTTGTCGGCGGCCTCTGGAGCCAGCTGGAGCGAGGCTGGCCGCCCGAGCGAGGTGGGACAAAAGGGGCGCCATCTGTGGGTGGGGCACGCGCAGGCACTGCTGCGGTTGGCTTCGTGGGCCCCCGGCCTGGACCTCCTGCGGGCCCCGCTGCAGACGCCCCTTCTGGTTTTGGCTTGGTGGGGGAAGTGGCTGTCGAGAGACCCAGGGGCCCTCCGATTGCCGCGGGCCCCCATTCGGGGGCCGCTGTCGGCATGGTGAGCGGGAATCGTGCCGCTGCCTCGCGCAGCGTGGGCGGGGTCCGCAGCCGCGGGGCGGTGGCTCCTGCGGGCCCCGCTGCAGAAGCCCCATCAGGAGGCCCCAGCCATGGCTGCCGCGCAGTGCAGCCAGCGGCCTCTGTCTGATTCTGCGGCGCACCTCTGCGGGCTGGGTCTTTCTTCTCCATCTGCCGAGGGCATGCAGTCCAGCGGCCATGTCCTGTCGCAGGGCGGCCGTGTTTTCGCCCGCCGCTCGAGATCGCGCGAACCTTCTCGGTCGGTTGCCTTCGACAGCCCTCCTGGGCCCTCTGTCGCCGCGTCGTTCGCCGGTGACGGCCCTGGTGTCCCTGGGGTGGCCAGCGGCGGGCATCAGCTGGTCACCGTCAACGGGTGCCGCGTTTGTACCACATGCCATTGCCGCGCTCATGTGGTCAGTGGCAAGCGCCGTGGGTTGGCAGTTGCAGAGTGCAAGCCCCCCAACAGCGCTCGAGGCTTGCAGCGTCGCCTCGAGAAGGCCCACAGAATCAGACTCGGGCTGCCGCCGACAGAGGCGCAGCCGAGGGCGCAAGCTCACTGACGGAGGGAATGGCGGCGCGGCGGTGGGTTGGCCCTTTGGACCGCTCGCTCCTTTGCCGCGCTGCTCCCCGATCCCAGGCTTTCGCCAGCCGCCTTTGCCCCGCGGCCGCCAGCGGGGCGGCTGCTCTGACTTGAGCTCGCGCCGCGCGAGCCTGGCACATGGCTAAATAAAAAAGTGCGCCAGTGGGAAAATTCGCAAGCAGTTTCACCCCCCATTTCGGCGCACCCCTCGCACGGTTCGTGGGCCCCTTGGGAAGCTCCACCGACGGCCCCAGTGGGAACGTTCGCATGCAGTTCACCCCCCAATTCGGCGCACCCATCACGCGTTTTGTGGTCCCGTAGGGAGCTACACCGACGGCCCCAGTGGGAAAGCTCGCATGCAATTTTACATCGATTTCGGCGCACCCCTCACACGGTTCGTGGCGCTGTTGGGAGTTACCCCCGAAGGGCCCAGTGGGAAAGTTCGCATGCATATCCATGTCGGCGCACCCCTCACGCGGTCCGTGGCCCCATAACAAGGGTCTCCACCGAAGACCCCAGTTGCAGGCTTCGCGCGTAGTTGTATCACCATGTCGGCTCATCTCTCATACGTTTCGCCCTACCGGGAGCTTTGCCGAAGACGATACACCTCGCTACGGCTTGACTGTTCTTGAGGCCTCTCCAGCGCGTTGGAGCCCTTCGGAACCACCTTACAAGTACTTTGGCGGCCGCGGAGGCTTGATTCTGAGATTCCGAGGGCGCCAGAGGCGCGTTGGGGAGCTCGAGCCCCCCCACGCGCCTTCCCCTCCCAACGGGCTTTAGGATCCTCGGGGAGGGGACGAGGGCAGGTTCAAAAGGCGGTCCCCTGACGTCTCGACCACCCCCACGGCCAGCTTTTCACCCCGAGCTGTTCTTCACGGCCCCACGGCCCCGCGAAGGCCCCCCGGAGGCCGAAGACAGCCACGAGTTGCCGTCGTGGTTTTTCCTTGCGACGCGAGCGCGTCCCGGGAGGGATGCAGTAGTGGGCCTCCTCCCGCCCGGCCCACCCGAGCGACGGAAACACACAGGGTCGGCTGCGTGGGCCTTCGCGCGCAGGCTTCCTGTCAGAGGCCTCCGCGACCCAACCCGAAGTCCTCGATTTGCCCTCCATTTCCAGCGGGTGTGGGGGGGTCGGTGGACATTGAACACACATTTATGGGGGGGCGGCGGCCAGGCAGAGGGTGACTGCGCTGGCGATGAGAGGCTTAAGCGGGGATGCCGTTGGAGCGATTCGTGCCACCATGCAAGAGGAGGAGGGAGAAAGGACGCGGCCGAAGGAAAACAGGGACGGGGCGGGCGGCTCAGGGGTCAGAGCGCTCCCCGAGCGTGTGGCGCGGCCAGCCCCGCCGCGGGGCATGCGGCGGCTGCTGCGACAGCCGGCGACATTGACAAAAGCACATATGGACCCCGTACCCCCCACCACCCGAAATTCGGGTCTTCGGGTTGGGTTGGGGTGGTCTGGTAGGTAGTCAGCCACGCCAGCGGCCCGCGTAGGCCTCGGCGTAAGGTCGGGTCGCCATGCCTTCTCCCGTAAGACCCGAATCTGTTGGTCGCTCACCTGCCTTAGGACTTCGGGTGCAGCTTTTGGTCGGTTGAATGCAGAATCGGCGCCGGTAGATCCCTGGTCGAAGATCGGCCTCATCTGGCCTAATTTGGCCTCGTCCCGCCTGATCTCGCTCAGTCCGGCGCAATCCGTCTCTATCCATCCTGCTCTGGCTTGATCTTGGGCTCAATCTGGCCCATTCTCGCACAATGGCCTTCTATCGGACTTGACCGCCCCCAATCTTTACAGCGAACCGTTGCCCCCTGACTAAGGTGTTCGATCATGGACCCCTTGTTGAACGCAACCATCCAGCCCTCGCGCCGAAGGCCGCTGGAACCACCAAAGACCGCCGGAAACCGCAGAAGACCGTCATAAGACCGCCGAAGACCGCCGCAGAGCGCCGAAAACCATCCGAAGACCGCCCAAGGGGGCCCAGGAGTGATGTTCGAAGAAACAATAACGGCATGCACATAATTTTTTTGGCGCTCCGCGCGGATTCCTCGGATCCGCGCTGGGGCCCTCCTCTCGGCGCCCCTGGCGCCGCCCCTGGCGCGCCAGATCTGAGAAATTCGCGCGGGGCGCCAGAGGTTTATGCTAATGCGTTCTTGCTTTTAGATGTGTACTCTGGATCGCTTCGTAATCGCCCCCTCCCCCTTGGAGTGCCCGGGGAGGTTGGCCGTGGCGCGTCCGCGGGGGTGCCAGTGGGGGGTCTGCCTTCGCCGCTGGGGCGCGGGGGTGGTGCCGGCGGGGGTTGGCCGCCCCGCGTTTTCACGCTGATCCCCCCGCGGTTGATGAATAAGAAGTTCGGAGTAACCCTTGTCACGCTTTTCACGCTTGTCACGCTTTTCACACCGCTTTTCACGCTCTTCCCCCCCTGGTTCAATTTTCTTCGTTATTATTATTACTACTATTATTACTGTTATTACTATTACTATACTATTACTATTATTATCATTATATATAATGATCGTTATTCTTATTACTCATGAGCAGTATTCTATTATTTTATTATTATCTAATTATTGTTCTATCATTATGTTATTATTCATTAGGCTAGTTATATTGTTATCTTATTCTCATTATTATTACTTTCATTATTCTTGATTATTCTTTTTTATTATGTATGATGATGATGATGCTGATGATGATGATGATGATGATGATGATGATGATGATGATGATGATGATTCTTATGATTATTAGCATTCCTATTATTATTGTTATTCTTATTTTTCATTATTACTACTACTACTACTACTACTACTACTACTACTACTACTACTACTACTACTACTACTTTTATTACCTGTATTGTTATAACAAGAAGTGTGTAACGAGGGTCCACTGTCGAACGCCTGACCTCGCCTGCCTTTGCCAGGCCGGCGGCCCCGAGCTGCTCGCCCGCTGCCTGCGGAGCTGCCCCGAGCGGCTGCAGCTCACCGGCGGGGCGCGGGGGGGGGCCCTCACGCGCCGCTCTTGGCGCCCCCCCGCCCAGGATGGGCCCCTGTTATCCACCACCATAAGTTGGAGAGGGAGGTGGTCCTCCTCCTCCTCCTCCTCGTCGTCCTCCTCCTCGTCGTCCTCCTCCTTCCCCCCTCGGTATCGTGTATCCGATCCCTATCCCCATCTCCATCCCCTTCGAGACCCCCCCCAAATTGCCACCCCAGTTGGGGATGCGCGCCTCGAAGCCCGAAGGGAGCGGTCTGTATCCCCATCCAGGGGGGGTAGATCGGCCAGTTGGGCCCAGGCAACGCCGCCAGGGATGGGGATCGGTTAAACGATACTCACCACCCACCCCGCCAGGGACAAATCCGAGGCGGGGATGTATCCATGACCACCGCTCGGGGGATCGATCCTCGTGGGCCTCCACGGGCGGTGGGCATGGATATATTCTGCCCCCCGGGGGCCAAAGTATATCCACATCCACCGCCCGCTGGAGCACCAGGACGTCGGTGCCCAGGCGGTGGATATGGACAAGTCCTCGCCTCGCGACACATCGGCACAAGCGTACACCTTCGGCGCTGCTCCCGGATTTCTTGTATCTGCGCTGAAACCTCCTGGCGGCGCCTCCCACCCCCCCGGGGCTGCGATAGTCGAAGAAGACATATCGGCACAAACGTACACCTTCGGAGCTGCTCGCGGATCTCTTGGATCTGCGCCGGAACCTCCTCGGGGCGACTCCGGCGCCGCCCCTGTCGTTAAGTCGGGCCTGTCCCTCTACAGGGGGAATGTTCAAAGTAGTCAAAAAATAGTCCGGGAACCATTTTTTGTCAAAAAATAATCCGGGAACCACTTTTTGAGCATTTTCGGAATATTTTTGAGCATTTTTGGGGTATTTTTATTTTTCGTCGAAAATCCGCCTGTAGGGGGACATGCCCGACTTAACCCTGGCGCGCGGCGCGCGCCAGGGATGGGGCTCCGTGCAGATCCAAGATCTCCGCGCGGACCTCCCACAGTTTTTGTCCATGCTGTCTTTAGGGGGGGTAATTAGGCTCAGTGCGGCAGGCCCAGGGGGAGGTAGAAGGGGTAGGCTCGGGGGGGTAGGCTCAGGCGGATAAGCTCAGCGGGATAGTTTGTTTTTCCCAGCCATCCTGTGGGGGTGTTCGCATGCGGTTCCCCGACCCAGAGGTAGCGCCACCGAAAACGATATTCATAGATTTGCGGTATTCACAACTGCATATGGTTGGGTCTTTCGCCAGGCCAATTGCCTTATGCAGTTTCTCGTTTAGGTAAGGGGGAGTAGGCTCAGGGGCAGAGGCATCGACCCCCGAGCGCTCACTCGTCATCGCCGATCGGGGGGCCCCGACATGCCGCCCTCGGGCGAGCAGCGTGCGGATCCGCCCTCGGGGCCCTGCCGCCGATCTGCCGGCGAGGTGCTGCTGCTTCCAGCTCGTGGTTTCCCCCCCCCCCCCCCCCCCTTTGGCGCTCCGCGCGAGCGCCTCGAGCTCGACACCCTGCCGTGCCGGTCCCTCCTTCGAGCCCGGTGGAGGCGACGTCGAGCCGTCCGTGGGACGCGTCAGGTGCCGCCGGCTTCGCCCGAGAGCATCTGAGACCACTAGCTGGCTGGCTCCCAGCTTCAGTCGCCCCCCCGAGCTGCCTCCCCCCCCCCTTCTTCGTTGCCCCTCTCGCTCCCCCGCCCGCCTCTCGGGTGAAGTCGGGCCTGCCCCTCTACAGGGGGAATCTTCAAAAATAGCAAAACATGGCAAAAAATGCATCGGGACGATGTTTTATTGTTTTGGTTAATTATTTTTTGATTATTTGGTGGAGTCTAATCCATTTTGGAGTGTTTTTTTTGTATATTGTTGGAGTATTTGTTGGAGTATTTTTGGAGCCAAATCAATTATTGTGAGTGTGTTTTTTGAATATTTTGGGAGTCTTTTTTGACATATTTTTGGTGTATTTTTTGTTCGTTCTTTTTGGGGTATTTTTTGGAGTCTGATCGATTTTTCCTCCCAGATCCGGCCGCAGGGGGACCTGCCCGACCGGAGCCTCGGGCGGCCTCCCTCCCCTGCCGCCCGGGCCAGCGCGGCCGTGCCCCGCGGCGCGGCCTCGCCCGCCTCCCGGGGGGCGGGGCGCGCTGGGCGCCGGGCCGCCGCTTCGGCAGCCACTCCGCCCCTGGAGTGCCTTCGTGTCGACTGGCGTCGGGTAAGCGACCAGACAGCGACTTGGCATCGCTCGGACGTGTGCATTTTTCTTTCGGCGAGGACCATCGAGGAGCATCCTGGATCATTTGGCGTAAAAGCCACGCACGAAACCGAAAAAACACACAGGGAATGGACGTCCGCGCGAAGGCCAGGCGCGTGTTTCGCGTCGGTCAGCGTCGATGCGCGAGAGCGTGCGCAAGAGCCAACAGGACGGTGCGGCAGCCGAGCGGTGGCGTTGGCGGGACGGCGCGGGGCCGCGCTCCAGCCCCGCTGCGACCTGGCGGCGGGGCTGGCCCGCGCCACGGCCGCTGACAGCTGGACCGCACTGTGGGACAGGCAGGCCAACTTCCCAGCCGAGGGGGGTCACCATCCAGCGCAGTCGCATGCGGTAGGCTCGCGTCCTCGACTGGCGGCGACCCCGCCACCGTCGTTCAACGTGGAACGCCGCCGGCGACCGAGAATCGGTCGATGTGGAACGATCTGCCGTTTCGGAGACGGCCGATCGTTCAAGGTTGGAACGATCCCCACGGTGTCAGGAACCAACGTCGGGGTCGACACGGCCCAAGCCTGCCATGCACAGCCTCCTCCAGCGGATCTCACTGTGTCGCTCCAGTGGTTTGCCTCCCGGTCCCAGGCATGCTCGCGTCGGGAGAAAGTCGCCCCAGCAAAGTACCCTGATAGTAGCAGGGACAATGAAGGTGCGATTCGAGCAGCAGGAGGTCGACCAGACGGGATAGGGGTGAGAGCACAGCCATGGGCACCTCGGTGGCCGTCGGGACCAAAAATGTAGCTGGCATCGATCGGTGGCCACATGCGAATCCTACCCCCACCCCCCACGATCTCTAAGGTGGGATGGGCGTTCATTCCGTTCGGGAGGTCCCGAGCGGAGTGAACCCCCATCCCTTTTTTAGAACTCGTGGAGGGTGGGGGCAGGGTTCACCTGTGGAGGATGGAGGAAGAGGAGGGGGAGGAGGAGGAGGAGGAGGAGGAGGAGGAGGAGGAGGAGGAGGAGGAGGAGGAGGAGGAGGAGGAGGAGGAGGAGGAGGAGGACGAGGCGAGAGCACGATCTCGGATTTGCTTCTCAGGAGGTCTCTGGCAGGCCAGGCGGTCTCTGGGGTGGCGGCCTCGGGCTCCACGCCCCCCCCCCCTTTGCGGGATTTTTGCTGTCACAACTGGATCGGCGAGCGAGCGAGGGGGGGAAACTCAGGAGGGACAAAAACGCACAGACAAAATCAATCGACGATTCCCGAAGAAAATATGGCAAAATATGGGAAGTGGGGGGGAAGACAACCGAGAAAATATAGGAAAATATGGGGAATCCTTTTATTTGTGTGTATTTGTTTGTGTGTCCCAGGGCCCCTTCAGAGGGGGGGAAACATGAGAAGGAGAAGGCCTTCCCAGAAGGCAACGGGGCTTCTCAGAGGCCCTCGCGCCTTCTGAGAAGTCTTCCGTGCCCCCGGGGAAGGCTTCGACGACTCTTCGGAAGGCGGGGGGACTGAGAGGGCCTCTCCTCCTCCCTTCCCCCCGCCGCGACTGTTCACTGCTTCTCCGTCCCCGTCCACCTCCTCGTTTCACGGGCCGTCGGTTGCGCCGAGCTCCGAGAACGGCGTCACGAAGGGCGCGCGGTCCAGCAGGTGCCCTGCGTTTCTTTCCTCTCCCCTTTCGCCTTATCGTCGTCGTGTCCTTGTCGTCGTCGTCGTCGTCGTCGTCGTCGTCGTCGTCGTCGTCGTCGTCCTCCGAGTATTGTCGGCCAGCGCGTCGTTATCCCCAAGATTGCCCCCAAGACACCCACGATGCCCCCAAGGGGCGCCCATAAGGCGCCCCATCCCAGAAGAGGCTTCCCAAAAGCTCTCAAAAGGCCCCCAGAAACGCCCCCAAGAGCCCCCCCAAGAAAAGCCGCATCTGATTTCAAGCGCATGGGGCAAATGCCTTGGGCTAGAACCCAAGCGCGCTCGAAGCTCGTGCGTGGTTAACCGTGTAAAGCTGTGTTAGGGTCTTCTGCAACAAGGGTGCAATTTTTGCGGGGCGACGTCACTGGGGCATTCGGTGGAGCTCCCTGTGGGGCCACGAAACGTGTGATTGCGTGTGCCGAAATGGGTGTTCGTGACGCACGCGGGCGGTGGCATCGGGGCCTTCGGTGGAGCTCCCTGTTGGGCCACGAAACGTGTGAGAGGTGTGCCGGAATGGATGTGCGTGACGCATGCGGGCTGTGGCACTTGGGGCCTTCGGTGGAGCTCCCTATGGGGCCACGAGACGTGTGAGGGGTGTGCCGGAATGGGTGTGCGTGACGCATGCGGGCGGTGGCATTGGGGCCTTCGGTAAAGCTCCTTGTGGGGCCACGAAACGTGTGAGGCGTGTGCCGAAATGGGTGTGCGTGGCGCATGCGGGCGGTGGCACTGGGGCCTTCGGTGGAGCTC